CACTTTTTCTGCCCAGTCAACAGATCTGTAGTTGCTTTGTGAATATTACATGAATGCACCAACATGATTGGAGCAGGTGTGCTTTAAAAAACAATCCAAATCATCAAATAGTCATAAAAGCAGCAAAAGTTAGACAAAATGTGCTTTATGTGCAGGAGGAAAGAGACTTTGCAGACTGTCAAGTTCCATCTTGTAAAATGGCTTTGCAGAATAGCTTACAAATGCGTGTGTGAAGAAAAAGCCTTGTAAACTGCTTAGCAAGGTCAGACACCTTTGATTTTTCATCTTCAATTGGAGACAGATTGCTGTAAATGTTTTATCCGCTCAGTTAGTGATGAACGCCTTGATTCTATAAGGAGGTGGCTTCATTAATTAAAGAAACTGGCTTTTGATCGCAGGCGGAGGTGTTCCACTGTGGTTTCCTTCTCACTCATCCCAGCAACTTAGCTGCTGAGATGTGATATTTATGCTTTTGAATCTCACCGTGTAGGGAGAATTTCAGCCAATAACGGTAGCCACCTGCAGGGAAGATGAATATGTAAATTTGAAAAGTAGGTCGGAGATCGAATTTCATCGGGTAAAATCACAGCAGAAATATCCTTTTACCAAGCAGGTTCCCTCAGCCAATCTGATTCCAGGGCGACCTTCGGGAGGACTGCCATCTTTCAGCTTTAGCTGATAAAAGTATTTGTTCGCCATTCATTTATCACTGTAAAAATAAAGGCAAGAAGCACACTCAGGCAAGTAATTTAATCAAAGCGGTCTTTTTAGCTTTAGAGGAATTCAAGCTGAGGTTACAAGTGCTGCAACACATCCACAGTGAACCTGCTGTCTCTAAACCACCATATCATAGAAAGGCACACTGCAGGCTTAGTAGCCTGCTCTTATTAAAACTGCAAATATGCTTCAGCTCTATTTTATTTTCATTACTCAGGTTTACTCTATTTAATTAGTGGCCTTAATCTGCAATTAGCTCTGAGGTCAACTGTACTCTTAACTTAAAAAAAAGCCAAAATTACTTTTAAAGGAACACGTACATATTTAATTAAACTGTTAACCCCTTAAATGTCACTGACACTGAATCCCTCACTGTTTAAACAGAAAGATTAAAAATAACTAGTGCAGGTCTGGCAAATTGATCTTTATAAGTCAATTTCATTAAGATGCTATCAAGAAAAAAAGAAAAACAGATCAATGCTAACTTAGTAAAGGAGTGTGGGCCGGGGGGTCACTGCTCACCATAAAGGTTACTTAGATTATGCAAAATTTGGTTCACACTCAGTTGTATCTAGAAGAGGTTATATACCTTGAAATCATTTAAATTAAATAATTTACACTCTTGACTGACTAAACAAAAATGACACCTGGAAAATCCCCTAGAGAGCCTCTAACAAAATCAAGGGCATAATTTAATGAGCTCCGCTGAGCAATGCTACCGTTTTAGTTATTTTTAGAACAGAAATATCTTTTCTTTGCTTTATAGGATTTGTAGACTGAAGTCAAATAAAAGCTAGCATCCAGAAATCAGGTAAACTTAGCTCTAATCAAAGACTATGCCTGTTTGCCTTATAAATACCCAATGTGTAACAGCTGAATATGAATGGTGTAAAATAAATGAGGGATATAAAAGCTTCCCTTTTAACTTTGAAGAGTGATAACAGCTCTACCATGGAGAGATACCTCCAGCAACTTTTGAGCATGCTCTCAACACTGAAAAAATTATGTAATTAATAGATTGTCTTTATATATTATTATATAATAATATAGCAATTTAAAAAGAAAGGAAAGACACCCAATCACATAGCTGAAATCTCTGTTGAGAATGTATATATTTCTTAAACTGAGACATTGAAAGCTGGGGCTTTCTAACTTTCCCAGTTACCAAAGTACTTCTTCAATATCAGCTAAATGTTCTGTTTATTAGAATGCTAAACAGCTGCAATAAAACTTAGCACCTTTCTGGTCTTCTGGCTCCAGCCTGCTCTGCATACCTAGAACCAGAACTAAACATGGAGAAGCAGCATTTAGTTCCTATGCTCCAATTATCTGGAACAAACCTCTAGAAAACTGTAAAAGTGCGGAAAGCCTGAGTTCCTTTAAATCAAGACTAAAAACACATTTGTTTAGGATTGCCTTCGACTGTTCTAGTTAAACAGTTCAACTAGAACATATTTTATTTAGTCCAACCGTTTTTAATATTCTTTTTTGTTTCTGCATTTTTTATTTTATTTTTTTTCCCTACTTGCTTTGATTCTGTTTTATTTTCCTGTATTTTAATCATGTACAGCACTTTGTATTGTCTTTGTGCTGAATTGTGCTATACAAATAAATTTGCCTTGCCTTGCCTTGCCTTTCATGTTCAAGGTGCATGTGTAACTAGAAAAAACCTGACTATGTATGAATCAGTAGTAGCCATAACTCCAACAACAATCTAGGAGATACCAACAAATAGAGACGTTTACGTGTAGAGTAGTAATACCTTGGTGAATAATATCTCAAGGGGTTTAAGTCTAAATTATTACATATCAATAATGAATGTGCTGCAAGACTTTTTTTTTAAATCCCTTTTTTCACTTATCTATTTCTTTTTTTTGCCCCTTTTTAGGTTCATGAATTCCATGCTTTAGGAATTCAGTGCACAAGTGGACACATTTTTGTTTTTAAACCATTTTGTTGAAGCATATTTGAAAAGAAATTCAATTCAGTTTATTTATATACAGCCGATTCACAACACATCTCACCTCCAGGCACTTTACGGAGAAAAAAATAACCAGATTATAAAGTCAGATTTCCATTTGCTTATTTTCAAATAATTTTTACATATTATTATTTTGTCACATTCAAGTATATTCTTTGTGTAAAAGACATTCAATCATGTAAAAGGCTTATTTCAACATAAAATTCTACATATTTTTTTTATTAAAATGGACACTCAATAAACATTTTGTAAAACTTCTTAAAATCTACCAATTATTCATTCCATCAAGAATAATCACAGTTTTCATGAAGAGTAAAAGAAACAGTCCTTCTAAAGCTGTAATTCACAGTGCATCAGTATAACATGACATGACATGCAGTAGTATTGTGATTGTTTCCCTCTGTAATCGACTGGCCAACAGTGATTTTGAGGAAGGCTAAATCTTTTCTGTCTGATCTTGACAGCAGCAGTAATTTCCTTCCGACATTTTCTTCCAGGTTAGCCTTCATTAGCTGCTCAAACAGCACGTTAACCAGGATTGATAAAGGTACTGTAATGTTTGGACAGCATGTCACCTCAACTTGGATCAACTAAAAGGGCAGGGGAAAAGGGTAATCTTAGAAACTGGAATCAACTGTTAAATAAAAGTAGCCTAAAGTAAGATTTAAGATAAAGCATTTACCAGAAATAAATCAAAAATACGCAATTTTAATTGGTTGTCAAGCAGGGGTCAGCACAATGAAAAGATGCCTAAATGGATTTGACAGTACAAAAATAAAATGATTTTCAACCAAAATCCCTCTCTGATTTAGTTTTTCCAGACCAGAAAAACTGTAAAAGTTAAATGATGATACAGCAAAATCACAAAGGAATGAAAAACGATGTCTTTAGCAGTAGAGCAGCTTCTTTAGAATAAAACTGATGAATAAAATTTGAACCTGTAAAACTGGTGACTTTTTGGGGACTTGAACTTAAGCGAAATAGCATCAGTTAAACCAAAGTCAACTTTGAAGATAACGTATGAAATAACTTGACAGTATTAGCAAATTTCACAAAGAAAAGCATTTTATATATATATGTATAAAATCGATCTTTTTGTTCCTCGCTTCATGGGTGCAGATTCATAACAGGAGAAATTAGGAGTACTAAGCTCAGCTCTACAGTGTTTTAATGTTCAATCAACTGGGGCCAGAAGGCAAACACTGCCTCAACAGTTGACCAGCTGCAACAAACTTCTGTTTCAAGGGGCTTTACAAGGCTTTTACTGAGCATACTTTGTCTCACAACCAAGAAAATTATACCTAATCTCTTGACTTATATTTGAGACTAAAGCATCAAACCCCTGCAGTCTTAAAATGCAGCGTCTGTGTGTGCCATGCCCTATCTACCACTGAGAATGTCTCCTTTCTTCTGTAATACAAAGACATTACCGGTTGTCAAAGCACTTTTCATCCTTGAACCCATGTCTCAATAGAGCTATAAATAGCTGCTCTCTGAAACTGCTCTCATGTCCAGCTCATTAGAGCCAAACATTAGACTGAAATAATGTTGCTAAGGCTTGGTTTTAAATGGAGGTTAAATAAGCACAGTCTCAACACAGTGATATACAGTACAGGGGCTGCTAGACACACAGATGTAAAAAAAAATAACTAAATAAAAAATAAGAAATAGGTAATCAAAATTGTATGAAATAAAATAACCTAATTTCCTGAAAGTTATATGAGAAAATTTGCATGAATAGTTTTTCAGAAAACAAATCAGTAATGGTGCCTATTTTCTTTAATTCCTACCCCTCCCCTAACATCTCTGTAACAGACTGGGCATGCCAAAAAAGAGAGATCTTTCTTTTTATGCAGAAAACTCCCTGCACAACAGTGCAGATCAACCATAATTGTCAAGCCCCCATTTCTGCTCATTCCTAGTGGTGCTGAATTCCATGTGACCAAGACAGCTAAGGCCCGGTATCATTCATTAATGCCCGGGCTCCTCATTACTGTCTCCTTACACTTTTGAAAGACTCATTACCTGCATAATGGAATAGCGCTTAGAACAGTCAGACCTTTCTTTTCCGCAAATTAATCACCTTCCCGCACAGACTAAAAGGAAATTCTCACATTAAATATTTAGAAACTTCAACCTCTGGCTTTCTACTTTTTCAAACTTCCACCAGATGTACTTTTTTTTAAAAGAAAAGTGGCAGGGATGCAATACCAGTGCCATGTTCGGCTACCTCTGTCTTTTTCCTGATGTGTGTGAAAAGAAGCGTACTAGAAAATGAAGAAGAAGAAAGAGATACACTTACAGTTGACTGTGACTTTTACTGTTTTGGTGTCAGGAGAGGCAATGTCATTTAGAGCGCTGCATTCGTAATCTCCAGCCTGGTCCCTTGTGATGCCGGTGATGTTAAGATATTCGCCGCTGTCATACTTCCTGGCTGAAAGGAGAAAAATGGAAGCAAAGTACTTACAAAATGTCCACGCAGAATACAAACACATCACCCAGACCAAAATTTAGTACAGATGAAGGCTCTGTTCCATGAAAGGTGTGTAGAAAGCTCACATTTGTGGTAAACAGCTTTCAAACCTGAGCCCAAACAGAACATGCATAACAATTAGACATCGTATTGAGCTCCTGACGACCCGACTTGCATGCTTGAATAGAAACACATCAGCAGTGAATTGATTCAGTTTTATTGATATGGTGGAAGAAAATATTGTTGTGTTCGCCAGCCATCCACTTATGATTTGTTCTTATCAGAGCTTGCAACTACTTCCTGAAACACAGAGGGATTTGATGACTTAATGCAAATGTCAGGGCTTTATAGCTGAATGAGCAAAATGTTGTAGTCAAGAAGCAGCAGAACTGGCATGTAGACCGCACGCTGCATTTAATAAGGGAAAATCCCCACAAATGTGCACCTTCAAAGCTCTAATTAACAGAAAATTAAAACATGCCAACCCTGTTACAGCTGATAGACTTAAGCTCCCACTGCACATCAAAAAATGTAATGAGAAAGCGAGGAGATACATAACAGTGTGCACAATAACTTGGTTAGAATGAGAAGACATGTAAACTCAGAGGGAGATCATTTAAATAGTATACACTTGTATAGCTTCTTTTTAACCTTGGCTCCTACCAGTGTGATACAACCGTTTCCCCACACACACAAATGGGTGACAGCAAATTTAATTCTTCAAAGAGAGACAACAAAAGCTGGAAGCAACAATGGCTTTGACACAGGTTTATCCAGAACAAAAGTATGTAAATAAAGTTTACTCCTAGCACTGAGAATTTGCCACTTATTGTATTATTTAACATTTAATTAATACTGATGGATAGAAATTTAATTGGCTGCTATTTCTAAGGTCAATCAATGAAATTGGTCATTCTTTAGCTCCAGCTTCTTCCTGAGATATTCTGCTAGATGTGATAGCAAACTGAGCATCTTCGAAGCATCATACTGATTATATCAATTATTTTAGGAATTACTGTTTTCTAACATTTTTAAGAGAGTGACCTCTTAACTGAGGATATAATTATTAGCTGAAGCTCCACTGAGTCTAAGAAAGCCGACGGGATATAATGCACTCATAACAGCTCAAAAAAATGTGTTCTTTCCAAATGGACGTCACAAACCAATACAATGACTTGATAAATGTATGACTTGGTAACTGAGAAACATAGATGCCATTACATGAAAAAAAAAAAAGTTTTCTACCTAATAATGTAAAAAGAAAGACTTGTGTGTAGTATTCAAAGGCTGGCTTTCAAATGTAACTATCAACATGGTTTCACAACACAAGAATTGTTACAATCTCAGATTTCCCTTTAAAATGTACTTAAATAAATGCACAATACTATACAGAGATTCTGTTCTAATAGTAGGGTTTAAATTTAAATATATCGTCACATGTTGTTCTCTATGTTTATGCAATTTTGCAAAAGTTTTCAAACTAACTAGCAACTGTGAGTGTTAGCATAGCTATAAAAGCATGTACCTCGAGAGGGTTAAAGGGATTTAAAAAAATGGGGCATGATGCGAAAACAATATGGGTTACTCTGTACAGGAGAGAGGAGGACCTCGTCTATTCAGCCAGGCCAACAATCCCCTTTAAAGACCGACCTTTCAGACACTTAGGTAGGTATGGGGTATTGCAGTTTAACAAAATAAGTCAAACAACGCCCATTCCAAATGGGTGGTCCCCTTTGTCTGTTCTAATTTGCATGTTTTCAAAACAAAAACAAGGCTTTGTTGGGCTACTGTATGAAACCTCAAACTCAACGCTATTCCTGACATTTTGAATTGAAAAATCTTCCTGGATGGGAAGCAAAACATCTTCAAACTTGGAAACCAAGTCCAGTGGATTGTTTTAAATTTCTTTGGAATGACTATGACGTTAATGACTGAGAACTTTCCACCCATTTGGGTTTGGCCCGTCTGGTGCTGGGCTCCGGGTGCTCTCATCAGTCTGGGAAAAACCTCACCACGCCTTCAGTCCAGCGGTTATTGGTAATGAGAGTACAAGTCTGGTTTTCATTTTCTTAATGTACCAATCAAACTATAAGTAAATCCCTGAGCATAAAAAGTTCAGTTATTTGACTTTTTTTTTTAATCAACCTGCATCTGACCAGGGGTGCTCTGTAACTTTATTACTCATTTGAAATAACTACCAAAAACTGATCAGAGTTATTTTATTCTATCATAATAATAAACAGGTAGATCTCATATATAATGGACAAAAAGTTTTAGTCAACATGTCATTTATAAAAGTTAATCCAAATATACAGGAAATTAATATTTTGACTTTATAATCATATATAGGTAAAAGCTGCAGGCAGTGGAAACAAAACTATCCTCCTCTTCCTGTTTCTGCTGTCCATAGCGTTCCTTGACCGTGTCGTTTTTAAATCACCAATTTATTGCTACTTGGTCACAATGTAATTTCCCATTGGGAACCTACTAGCACTAAGTTGCTAACTGGTTAGCAAGATGCTTCCCAGACACCAGCCCCCACCCCTTGATAAACTACCTATCACATTCACTTTATTCACTCGTGTAAAGTGGTGGGAGAATTCGGAAATGCAAAGGTTGGAACAGCCGCTTCCCTACGACTTTAACAACTTCAAAATGGATCTCTAGAAGTACCAACAGCATCTAATTTGTGACCTCCCGTCTTGCAGCTCTTTGAAAATAGAACCATTAAAAATAAAAAGAAATAAAACACAAACAAACTGAATATTAATACATGTAAATAAAGGGGTTAACTTCGTCTGAATTAGGTCTACATGAACACCCCATCTAAGGTGAATGTATATTTTGTATTCCTTCAAGGAAAAGTGCAAATGCTCAATCAGATAAGTGCCCCATTAACATAAATTTGTTAAACTGTGGAGAAACAATTTATATTCAATACCAAAATTAACCTTAAATGTCTACATTTTCTCATGAAACATAATACAATTTATCATCTTGCTCATGCAGTTCTTAGGACAAACCTCACAAATGCTTTATATTCACTTTCAGTTTCTACAAATGGATATCAGGCACCGAGAAATCCCTGAGCCCCCGTCCGGGTTCAAGGCCTCTCTCTTGGGATTCTCCACATCCTGAGTAGCCAGGTCTTAACTGAGTAGGTAAGACCTGGGTCTCTGCAGCTTTGACACAGATTTAAAAGTAGGCTATTTCTTGATAAATTGATGACATGGATGAAGTTTGAGGGTTACTGCATTGCTTAAAAAACATTTTAGAACAGCTTTTGGTGTTAAGCTATTTAACGGGTAATGATCTGAATGACTTGCCAATGTTACGGCTGTGGTTAGCCAGCGCTCCCTCTACACCTCACAGCTGAGAAGGCAGCAGACACTGACCTGCCCTGATGGCAGGTTTCTCTTTATTATGAAAAGCAAAGAGACCCTAATAAACTATCTGACAAAAGAAGATTAACCAAAATCAAGACTATTTAAGAATTTTTGGACCTGGACCTTTTGATTGTTTCGTTAAAATAACAAGAAATTACAGAGCCTAATTGTCCATATAATTTTCTGTTAACAAGCTTGTTATATCTTAAAAAAAAAAAACAACAACAAAAAAACATGTTAAAGAAATGCAGAGGAATGGAGAAAAAAAACACAGATCTCATATTTCATAATGCCCAAGCTTTGGCACTCTTAAGGAAACATTTTCAGTGGGTGTAGACGATCTGTACCTAATTCCACTGATGTGGGAGGAAAAGTGCATCCCAGTGAGTCAATAGAGTAACCAAATGGTGCAGAGCAAATGTGATCTCTGATGAAATGGGAATGGATGATTTAAGGGCCTTCCATGGAGGCTGTGAAGGTTATGTTTTATGTCATAAAAAAATCTTCTTTTTTAAAGAATGTACAGCAGATTCTGACACAGGCAGGCTTTTAATCAGATAGAGATGGTATAAATAGAACTCCACATTTAAGAGACACAGAATTTAAACTAAATTAGTTACAGCTTTTAGAATGAACCACACACCAGGGACAGTGCCAGTAACCCAGACTTTAAATCAAAGTATGACAGCAGGAGGTAGATTGGATTTCACCTGTTTCACTAACTAAATTGGTCTGTTTAAACTTTATATGAAGTACAAGAAACTCCTCAACCTTCAAGTATATGTCTAACTTGCTTCAAAGACTAGAAAAAAGGTAACTAATATATATCAGAAAAAAAGATTTTCAGCTATACTTATGTAGTATAGAACAATGATGTAGATCTCTAAATCATTGTACCATCTATGATTGGGAATTTCTCCCAATATACATATTTTTAAATCATCATACAGAAATATGGTTCTTCACCTGTAATGAAATGGAGGAGGACTATTTCTTATCAATTATGGTGATTAAGGGTTGCATAAGAATAGGATTGTTAGTAGTATTGTATTGATAATGAATGTTAATCTAAACTGGTGAATGGTGTTACTATTGTTATTATTAATAATACTGCAATTAATACCACTTATAACTAATGGAATTTATTATTATGGATATTGTTGATACAGTAGCATTATAATAAAATAATTATATATCGAGTAATTCTTTAGTTTTGTGCAGCAAAGGGCTGGGTTTAAATAACCATTGTCTTCTTCCCACTCATTATGGAAAAAGTATCTTTTTTTGTTTCTAATTATAGTCTTATGTTCAAAAATGAGAAAAAAAAATGTTAGGCAAGTTACTTACAAAGGTCACTTGTTACTAAGCAAAGAAACGGTGCCGTTTTTTTGTTTTTAAAATCACAATAACTTTAGATAACTTTGCTGTTATCAGAAATTTAAAAACATGCAGAAGTTCAATCAACATTTGTAAAATTTTCAATATGAACACATTAAATAATTAATAAAAAATAAAAAACACCCTATACCTTGCTAAATTATGAATCACAATTTTGGTGTTTGCGAACCAGGAGTC